GTGTATCGTGCCCACCCCCAAGATCCTATATGTATGTGTAATGAGAGTGTGAGTAATGTGAATGTCTAAGTTGTGGGATAAAATTGAGGCCATAATTATCATCAAAGCAGGTAGTGTACAAAAAATAAAAAAATAAAAAAAATAAAATAAGCAGGAATCTCTGCTTGGCTTCTGACATCAGTGTGAGTCCAACTCCAACTTTAGCAAAACTAGTGCCAATTACATTTCACAGTTAAAAACAGCAGTTTACCTTTTCAAATATTTCAATCTCATCTATTTTGGAAGAAGTCCAACTAAATTTGTCTTTCAGTTTTACAGGGAGCAAACAGTAAAAGCAAAGTGGCAGTCGAACAGAAAGCGAGCCTTTAATGCCGGTATTCAGAATGAAGTCCAAAGGATAATCCAAAAGCCTGAACCAGGGAATAAAGTGAAAACGGGAACCACGGCAACACGCAGCTGAGACTGACAACATGACAAAGGACAAGAGGAAACTCCCACAACATGGTAAATGGACTGGTTCTGATACAGCGCTTTTCTAATGTACCTGGGCACTCACAGCACTTTATACAACATGGCTCATTCGCCCATTTATACAAGCACTTTCTTTCAATGCTTTTTCTATCTAAGTGCTTTCTAACATTCACTCTGCGATGAATGCATCCAAGAGCAACTTGGGGTTCAGTATAATGCCCAAGGATATAGGATAGGCATGCAGACGGGAGATTGTGTGGCTAAAGCTGTCAGCTACTAATCGGTAAGCTGGTGGTTCAGTATGTGGCTGCTCCAAGGTAATGAGCACAGGGGACAACAGGTCAAAGACACAGTGGGAACAAATTAGAGATGATGAGACAGTGTATGTTCAACTAGATCCACAGAGCAAGAGACAAAAGACTGCCAAAGAAAGGCAGGGAGTAACTAAACAGAAGACAGAATCACACATGTGACCTAGACATGGAAAGACAGAAGGAAACATGAAGGGAAAGAAGAAGAAAGAAAAAAACTATCACCATCTAAAGTGCAGGACTAATGGTAAAATTAATAAAGAGATTTAATTGCAGCAGGGAATATGAAATCTTAAACAGATGATGATAAATCCTTCTCTCATGTCACGGTTCTGGGTCAGTTATGACCCAGTATTTTGAGTTTTCAGGTTTTGGTTTGATTTTGTATTTTTTGGGTATCTTCTTGATCTATTTGATGATGATGTTCTATGTTCCAGCTTATTCTGGTTTATTTTTAGTTCTGCCCGTGTTAAGTCTGTGTTTCCTAGTCTGCATCCTTGTGTATTGTTTCCTGTTTTATTTTGAAGGATTGTGTCTTATATCAGTGTGTCCAGATTTGCTCCTCCTGTCTCGTTAGCCACAATTTCTCCCATCTGTGTCTCCCTCCTGTTACCCATTCCCTGATTACCACCCTGTATTAGCCCTGTGTTTTCCTCAACCCAGTGTCGTGTTGTACCCTCAGATCCTGCCTGTCTGTTCCTGCTTGGTTTCTGTGTTTGTTTCATGCCAGCAATAAAAGCTGTGGTTTTCAGTTACATTTCATCTCGGAGTCCTGCATTTGGATCCACATTTCCACCTGCCCGCACACAGAGCCCTGACATCTCAACCCCCAAAAGAAATCATAAACCCACAAAACTCAAAACTGAGTCCAAGATGCTTGTTTTAACTACATGTGTAAAATATCATAAAATGTATTTTATTGATTTAAAGTTTATTTTTTGAATTTGAGCTTTAGCAACAACATTTTTACCATGCAGTTTTACAGTGTCAGGAACATGCTTCAATTCCCGCTGAACTATAAAACCCGTGTGTGGGTATGTGGGATAATAGGTGCTGAAGTCGGTCGGTGAGGTCGGTGTTTCCACAGAGGTGGTGAGTTTGTCTCCACCTTTAAGTGGCTGGTTAAGGTGCATGTGTTAGGATGAGTAAACAGTGAAAAGTGAAAAGGGAGAGAAAAACTTCAAGACAATCCAGTTTACTCAAGACAGAAAATAGAAACTGGATTATCCTCCACAGATTATCAGAACAAAAACTTTAAATCACGTGCACCCAATCAAATCCAGAACGTCCTGTCCCTTTGCAGTGTTTACATTCTGCATCTTTAATGCACCCTTTTGAAGCGTTCCCTTTCTGTCTTGCTGCTAGTTTGCTAGTGAGGCTGATTCTTTGCCTTGATCTTCTGACCAGTCGAGCTTATTGCCTTGATCCTGGGAAAACAGGCTTTGATGCATCTGAGTGCAGCTAACAAGTCATTCCTCTCTGAAGTGTATTAGCTGGAAATTGAGCCTTTTGATCTTTTCCTTTTTTAAATTTAACCTTGTTGGTTGCCAGAACGCTGTGTCTGGGAGCCTTCCGTCGTCAGATGTAACTGTCAGCTTTTGGTTTAAGCTATTTTAAATTTTAAACAGAATATTGCAGCATTTTAAATATTTAGATGTCAGGGTATAACCAGAGATACTCATGATAAACTCTTTTTGCTTTCGTCGTGTTTTAAGCATAAAGAAAAAGCCCTACCAAGTCCGCATAGATGCTTGTGTATATTAAAATCAATTGACTGGATTGGCAGAGGCTTGGCGCTCACTGTCAAGATGCCAAATTATTTACTTTATCAGCACATGTGAGAAAATTAATCCTTTTCAGAAAGTCAGAACAATAACAGCAATACTGTGGGTGATCGTGGTTCAAAGAGTAACCGGAAAGTTGCCGGTTCAAGCCCCGGCTCGGACAGTCTCGCTCGTTGTGTCCTTGGGCAAGACACTTCACCTGCCGCCTACTGGTGATGGTTAGAGGGGCCGATGGCGCGATATGGCAGCCTTCTGTCAGTCTGCCCCAGGGCAGCTGTGGCTACAACTGTGGCTTGCCTCCACCAGTGTGTGAATGTGAGAGTGAATGAATAGTGGAATTGTAAAGCGCTTTGAGGGCCCCGAAAAGCGCTATATAAATGCAATCCATTATTATTATTAATACCAGTTTTTTGGGTGTATGTGTATGTTTGATCTTTTGTTACAAAGACAAACTCAGAAGGATTTAAGTTTTTAAGTTGTTTGTCAATGTTACCAAGAAAATGCAAAAAGTACACGAGTTAATTTAAGCTGTCAAAAACACATTCTAACAGATTTTAGCTCGACGGTCCACTCCTCCTTAGACGCTGCAGGCTACATGCTTGTAGCCTGAACAGAAACCGTAAAAAAGCAAAAAAGATGGCAGTCGATATTCACAGACTTTTTCTATTGTTTTTTCCCCCCTTTTTAATTAGGGGTCTCCCTAATGATGACATCATCATGAGGTCATGCTTGAGGTCTAGTAGTTCCAACTTTTCCGTTTGAGCAAATCAGAACCAAGATACAGCCAAGATATTTTATAGATAAAATATGAAAGGAATTAGAGAAATAACATAAATAACAGAGAAATAACATAAATAACACCAAACTGATAATTCGGTAATCCATTCAGTACACTGAGATATTTCAGTTTAATCCAGGGATGTCAAACATAGGGGGAAAGAACCAATCCACCAAAGCGTGAAATCTGGCCCACCTGGAGGCTGTGAACAGAGGTGGGCACTTAATCTTCCCAAGGAGCCACATTAGAAACGGGGACTATTGTGCACCAGCTGCACCAGTGAGCATATAAAGAGATACAATTAATATTAAAGTCAATGAAATGAAAATGATTCCAGGTTTTTATAAAGTAGGTGCACAAATGCAACATAAAAGGGGTCATTTTACCCCACTGCTGGTGGTTGCTAGGCAACATGATGATACTATATGTAATTCAGCTTTGGTGGAGAAGTTACTATCATGAAATAAAAATCATTCAGTGCTTTTTGGAAGGTGTTGCAGGTGCATAGGTGCCAAAAACAGGTCATTTTAGCCCGTTGTTAAGTGTTTGCTGGTGGGATGAACCCATGTGTCAAGTGTGTCTGCTGAGTTCCTGCATGTACAAGGAATGAAAGGCAAAGATTTGGTTGAACAGCCGTCTCAGTAACAACAACATAAAACACCTCAGAGAGTAAAACTTGTTTGAATCAACAGAAAATTTTGGCCTTTTAGTAAGAGAATAAAAGCTGGAAATAAGCAATTTTTCTGTAATATTTCTTTTTTGTGTACATCCTAAGAGCCGTGCTGATGGCAGTAGCATTTCTTAGTGCAGAAGAAATGAAGATGAATTACACTTGGGGTATTCATCATCAGTTTTATAAATAAATGGTTCATAAAATGCGTACTTGAATTTTTTAACACTAAAAGAAAAGGAATTTGCAGGTGTCTTTTTTTAGGGAATAGGTTCAGTGATCAGGCTCACTTAAGACCAAATCAGGCTAAATGTAACCCACAAAAACATTACAGTGATTTCGACCCCCTTGGTGTAAACCATGAATGCTATTATATGCTGTTGGTGCTATAGAGAAACAGAGAGTCATTAAAGAGCAGGAAATGTAAATATGTAAACCATCGACCATTTGCGAGGCCATGCAGCAAATCTGAAGGTTTCAGTTCTGCCAGACAAGATATTATTAAATCAGATCAAATCTAATCATTTTGTACATTTTTTTCATATAAACACACATGAGTATAGCACGCTTGCATTTTGTGGATCAACACTTCTGTCTTAAAGTACTTGTGTGTCTGTGTACAAAATCATGTAACCTTGGAACTTGTCATTTAAAGCAATCCTCTGATAAAAAACAAAACAAAATATATACTTTTGTGTCCATCTGGGGCAGGAGGGCATCCAGATTATTTTATTACATTCATTACGTTTCTCCTGGTATGTCCCCCATGACTCCAATTTGCTAATAGCTTACTTCATGTCTGAAATAAAGCTGGCTCTAAACAAAGACGCCCATTGACGACACAGAACTGCAAAACCTCGCAGAGGACTACGTCTCCAACTCAAACAGCAGAGTCGGTAAAGACAGAGCACATATCTGAACCACTGGAACACAGAGGTAAGAGAAATCTGTGGAGATACATGCGAAGGATTAAACTATAAATTAGTTAATATTAGATTATTTCTGCCAAGAAAAATGTTACCTGAGTTGATGTAGCAGTAATCTTGTTTGCGTTGGCCATGTTTCTTTTTGGTTTGTGTTACCTTACCTGCTTTTCTTTCATACTCTCTTTAGGTAATAAAGCCACATCTTTACCATGAAGCTACCTTTAGCTCTGGTGTTTGCACTCACCCTCCCCATCATCAGGGCTCAGGTTCCCCACTGGGGCCCGTGTCCAGAGCCTGCTGTTCAACCCGCCTTCAGCCTTAAACAGGTACCAGTGACGGTGCAGACTGTGCAGAATACGCTGAACACATTAGGCGTGAATGTCATGAGATCCTTCTTCTCTCGCACAGTTTGAAAAGGAAAAAGCTGACACCACAAACATTATCAGAGATTTCTGTTTAAATATTTTCATATGGCAAAGATTTGCTGACTGTTTATGATACATTCTTATTAAGTAGCAAAACGTACATGTTTAGTAATTGCTGGCATTTGTGATATAGATCAGAATAGTGTGTGGTGGAAGCAGATAGGAGTGTTTGTCATCATATTTGTCTCTGTATCGTGTGGGCACCAAAAAGTCGAGGCTGGTAGACACATGCATATGGACATAATTAAATACAACTACTACTAATTATAATTACACCACAGGTAAACAAGAATTTATTAATATATATATTGTTTTCACGTGAAAAAAATATAA